ACCTATTGGATGATATGGGGTAGTGGATATACTTACACTCATCATCAACGAAAAATAAAATGAATAAACCGTGATCTGTAAGCATCATTTCAACGCATACGTACATGTTCATATCTTTGTCGGATTCTATAGTGGTCTGAGTAATCAATCAATCAATATATATTTTATTGTACACCAAAACACATTAAAATGAAAACAAAACGAAATATATTATAAGGATAGTATAATAGGCGCTCTTTTCGCTTTGAAAAGCGATTTCTTCCAAACTATTACACAAAAAAATGTCTACAAACATTCTAGTATTTTCTTCAACGAATGGCTTATAGAAAAGGTTTGCATAAGTTAGACAATTAACATAAGAGAAGATTTTGCATGAGTTTATATACTACAGATTTCTCGGAGCGTCGATTCTTCACATCAGTAACGTGTTTTACGTGGGTTTTTATTGATCAATAAAATAATTATCAACTGAAAATAGCCGTCGTTAACTATGACATTGGGACCTCGAACGCATCAGCACCCCCGTGACCGTGGATGCGGTATCGGAAACATAAAATAAGTTTATAAACGCGATAAAATCCGTTAAAATAGTACTCATTAAAATACGTAGTGTTCGCGAAAAATAAAATAAATCGAAGAAAGAATTATAGATATACTATATTATTTTATTTATTTAATAAAGTTTATAAAGACGACAAATGTGCACACAGTACATCTGATGGCAAGTGGATTCTGTGACCTATAGACATCTATATTTTAGATTCGATTAAGAATCAGAATGAAGATGTGTTATCGTCACCAAGGACTGAAATGGATGCCTGTATAAAGGGTCCATTCACAGATTGTGATCAATTTAAATTGTTGTAGTTTTCTTAAACTTTAATGTAATTTGATGTTAATTACAGGTGTCTATAGGTTATAGCCACATATTATTAGGTTAACAGTTTTCTCAATTGTATAAGTGGTAGAGCCACGCTGCAGCTTTATTATGTTGCAGAATGAATGGATTGGCTCGACCTGGGTAGGATCAAACTCTCACAGAATACCAGCGTAAAATAGCAGTTTAATGCTGCTGGGTTTCGTATGGTGAGTGTAGAGAACCGGAGATCCCATATTTACTGGAAACGAGGGGTGACAACGCAACAAAGCATGTGCATGTTGCGGATAAACGATGGGCCACAGAACCACTTACCATCAGGTGAACTGGTGCTCGTTTGTTTGTTTTTGTGTGAACTAAATATTTCGTTAATATATTATATAATATAATAAAATGCATTACTATGTAAGATATTTTGAAGGGTACATCAGTGCGAAATATGTTAGTTACATATAATAGAGACACAAAAAGAAAATTTAAAGTTGATCGCACATCTAATGTCATCACTGGTCAGCACCATTTTCTTACAGTGACCACAATATAATAATAAAATTGACTTTGCACTTACAGAGATTTTATGACGTCATTTACGTTTTTAAATATTTGACGATATGTTGAAAATGGGCCATGGTGACAGTAAATAACCGACGAGCATGTACATGTGCGTAGGTCTAGGATGTAAATGAGAGAGAGGTGTACCAGGATCGTGCCAAATGAAAGTCCGTAGTCTCTGCCTACCCCTTTGAGTGACAGGCGTGAGTGGTAATATTTAAAAATAAAACAATATCAACCTTCGTACTGATATATTTGATATTATTTTCGAATGCCAGAAAAAAAATATTAAAAAATTGTATGTCTGCATACGTAATCGCCCTGGAAATTATACAGGTTCGCAGACGGTATCTCGTTTGGCAGAGCGCCAGTAACACGTAGGTAGTTCAGATTCAGAGCGGTTATCTGAACTGCGTCACTATCGTTTCCCGTGTATAAATTGCGTCGAAAATAGTTTGTGCACGAAAAAATATGTTTTTATTTTCGTTTACATTGTCTTAACTATGACGTAAATTGTTTTGTCCTTTTTACCTGCTTTCATTAGCTTAACGTGTATTTGTATATATGTCTGGTATGTATAAAAGTAGAGTAAAGTAAAGTTACAGCCTATAGACGTCCCACTGCTGGGCACAGGCCTCCCCTCATTTCTGAGAGGGTTTTAGGGCAAGGAAGTGTCCGCCGCGCTGCCCCAATGCGTGTTGGCGAACTTCACATGTCTTTTAAAATATTTTTTTTCTTATTCCTCAGACATGCAGTTTTCCTCACGATGTTTTCCTTCGCCATCGAGCACGTGGTAAATTAGCACTTAAAATTGCAATTAACAATTTCATTGGTGCCGGCGGGGATCGAACCCAGGTTACTCGCCTTCTATTAAATTTACAGCGAGCGTTAACCCTCTGAGCTACCACGGCTTGTATGTATACATATATGTATACACACCAGTCATATAAAAAACGTGTAGTGACGGTGTAAGAATATCCACTATATTGTATGGTGGAAACTCGTCTCGTGGTCGTAGATGTGAAAGGGGGAGGCTCAAACGGGAGATGAGCAGCAGCATCTTCTTAGATAAAACATAGCCTAGACCAGGGATGGTGAACCAATGGCATACGTGCCATCGATGGCACGCGTCACGATATTTTAGGCCACCGATTACAAAGTTCACTATAAAGTATTATATTACGAACAAATGCGAGTGATCCTAGTTACATCTCGGACTACTATTACTAATGAGTAATGACGCGTAGTTCGTTTCATCATAATCATCATCATCATCGTCACAGCCCTTCACAAGTTCACACCTCCCCTAAGGAAGGCATAATTCGTTTACGCATAGCATAATATGTAGTCAATTTCGTTGACACACCTTCATTTGTGTTATATTTAGAATTTTACAACCCCAATATAGGTACCTAAGTTATTTGTTATCTAATCCGCAACAACAGAAGTCACACAAATGTTACTATAATTTGAATTGCGCATATAAAATGTATTTTGCAAATTGCAATGTATTATAAATAATGTCTCAATTCAAAACTCTTTATTTATTTTTTGTTGTTAATAAAGAGTTCTGAGTCGATAGTATCTAGTACTGTTATTTTCCCAATATTCATGACGTCAAAATTTGTTTACGGCACGTCTATTACCTAATTAAATATTTCTTTAAAAAAATGGCACGTTGATACATAAAGGTTCGCCACCCCTGGCCTAGATCGCTTCCTGGTATAATTCTTTATCTGTTCCTAAAGTTTCATCACAATCGATACGGCCAGAATACCGAACAGTACCAAAGAATTATGCCGGACAGACAGACAGATAGAAAAGCGGACTTACAAAAAATTTTGAAATTGTTATTTATGTCTTAACAGCATAGGAGTAGCGCTCTGAGTTTCATAGAATTCAGTTAATGCGAGAATGGTAAAGGCTATATAATATTTTATATATCACATCTGAAAATAAAAAAACAGGGAGAAAAAGATTTATTTTTTACGCAGTATGGGTTTGGAAATAACTGTTTTAACTATTTTGCCTTGTTATACCTACGGAAATTGTTTTTGCAACGATATATGATTACAATATAATACGATGTGACAATTGAATACTAATATATGATAACAATCAGTTCTACTCACAAATTGCCATCGTTGATTTACACGACACGACACAATCCTCTTAAATTGGTTTATGGATGTTCAATAACGTTCTCTTTTGAAGTATCATACGATTGGCGTTCTCCCTACCCTCTGCTGCTGGTCTGTTTGGTCCCATAGCCAGAGACCAGATCCGCCACTGGGATCAGGAAAGCCAGTGCTTCCGAGTGCTCGTTTTACCTGGCTCCATGGCCTCCGAGTATCGGACTCGGTGGAGGGGGAGAGCCCGTTAAGCACATGGATTTAGAGGCCACGCAGAGGAAGACGCGCTTGTGTTCCTGGTGCGCCTTACCTGAGAAGGAAAAGTGGAAGGGAAAATCCTTCCCGAAGAGGGGCTGGAATGGAGCAGCCGGCTCTGGTGGGGCCGCGGATATGTGCGAAAGCGTTCCCGTGGACCTGCCAGTATGCGGTGAAGGTGGAACACCATGGGGTTTTAGTTGGTACGAGTCCGACAACCCGTCTTTGCCCCCACCATAAGAAATTCAAATGTTTGAAAACAATCGTGTCGAAACCTGTCCCAACATGATAAATTGTCGCACATATAAAGGGAATTGAGCTCCATAGTCCCAATTACAGAGATCCCAAACATCGAAATCCTGAATCAAATCCAGGTTCGAAAAGTCCCATTAAGGGGATATAGAAAGTCAGCTCAAATTCTTATTTCGCCTCCACTTCCCCGCGCGTCGTATGCTACGTACCGACATGTTTGTAATCATTAATACTGAAAGTAGATAGGTCGTTAGACACTTATTTCATTAGGTTTATCATATTTATGCCTGTTTCTTAAGGCCAACCCAGTCGCTTCTTATTTTTATCACGGTTATTTCTCATTTTAATTTTACGTCGTCCTGTTGCGTAATGTGTATTCCGATCGTAAGCGACACAACTTCTCCCTTCAAAAGCCTAAGCGATATTAACGGGGCGACAGGAATCAAGCTTCAAGACGCCGATAGTTTAGATAATTTCTTTTCACAGTGAAAATAATGGTATTTTAAAGAAAGTAAATAACATAAGCACTGCTTTATAGTTAGTTCAGTTAGTATGCAAAGTCATGATCTTATTCAAAGTATTTTATGAATAACAGCGGTTTATTGTTCAGTTCGGAGGTAGCTTTGGATTTTTTTCTATCGAGAAAATTTTACGGAATCGTGTTTTCGTCTAATATAGTCCTTGACATTAATCCTCAACTTTACCATATATTTATTTCAAAATTAATGCTGCAATACTTTCGGCATAACGGAGGATCTTGCTTAGCCATTTGAGGTTATATTTGTCCCATTAACAGAGGTAATTCGATGAAAAAGTGCTGGGAACTCATTGTAGTTCTCAATAATAGAGGTTTCTCATTTCAGCCATATTTTTATCTGTGACTAGACATTTCTGATTATATTTTTTTAAATATTCCAAATATTTAATTCTAGGTTAGAAGTCACACAGATCGTCAGCAGAGCTCTGTGCTACCACAACTGGCCTAAGTTTGAGAATTGCGTCGAAGTGAAATTCGGTGTTCCGTTGGAGTACGATGGTGACCAAGAACCAAGGCTGGACGTTGACGACCTGAACTCCATGTGGGTGAAATATTTCGATCAAGATCCATTCGCTTCAAGGCTGAGGAGGTTGGGCATTACGGTTAGTTTTCGTTCATCTCTAATTTTGTATCTGTCGCGGACCAAGTGATCAATAGGGCATTATTCATGATGTCCAATATGATAAAAATAATTGAATTGAATGAACGGGACATTTTTGAATAAGGTCCGTTACTTATTGGGCAGAGTAATAAAAATATAGGTTAGGTTCGGTAACATTATGATCAGACAATTTGATAAATAACGAAGTTCAAATCAGTATTACAGTTTCACATCGGTTTACAGGGCAATGAGGAGGCTGATAAGCTGGCGAAATTGGCAATCACCCAAGGAAGAGAATGTAATATTTATCCTGATTATTCAAAAAATTTAATTAAATATAAAGAGAAATGTTATACAATTTGGAAAGAATATTTTGATAAAAGATCGCAAGAAAAAAGGGATTTGGTACAAAACCATCCAGAGTCAGCCTCCGAAAGTGCCTTGGTTTAATCAATGTCTGTTGAATAGAAAATATATTGTATTAGCAATGCGACTTCCTTCTGGACACATTCCGTGTAACAAGTTTGCTTTCATGATGAAAAAGAAACAATCTCCAAATTGCGATACATGCAAAACAATAGAAGATGTACAACACTTGCTCGCGGAATGTTCCAAAAATCATCATGAAAGGAATCTATTAGTTGCCAAAACTGATATTAAAATTTGTAACCTAGGGGAATATCAAAGCATTCTGTCTGAACCATTGTCTAATGCTGCTCAAATGGTATATAACTTAGTTAATATTTTGTGTAAATAATTTAAGAAATTGTAGTGTGTTATTTAGTTATAAGGTACAATGGGACTAGTGTTTCCAGGTGGCCCGATTTGCGCGGGACGTCCCGATTTTCAGGGGTCTAAGGACGCGTCCCGATTCGTACCTGGTCGGGACGCTAAATGTCCCGATAAATCAAAAAATGAAAAAAATTTCCAAATTCCAATGAAAAATATAATTTTAATAAAAAATAAATAATTTACATAAATACTTACTTTATTCTTCTGAAGTGTGTCAATTACGTACGTTAATAAGTACGATTTTATTTTAAAATTTTTAGTAGTCCAGCAAGGCTGATTACTTGTTATGTAAGATTAAATATGTACGTATTTAATTTAGGTAATATAATACTGTACTTGGACTAGTAGTTTAAAACGCAATAAGTTAAACCCTGATTTAAAAACACCTCGTTTTTTGTTTGTCCCGATCTGCAACCCTAAATCCCGATTTTTTTGACCTCATGTACCGATTTAAAATAAATCGGACCTGGCAACACTAAATGGGACTGACATGTTAAAAATAACCTAAGTCCCTAAATTAAAAAAAAAGAATTAAAAAAAAGAAAAAAAAATCAGTATTAATTACGCCCTTTTGACCCTTTATTATTTGAATGACTGATGAAGAGCTATCGTATCATAGAGCCATCTATTCAAACAAGGCTGTAGTTTTTGAGTTATAAGAAAGTGACCATATTAACCGGATGTCCATATTACCCTCACGTACTAAACGAATTCCAAACTTTTATTTATATTGACTGTATAATATATAAAGGTAATTTTAATCTTCTCTAGAAGTTGATCTGGAGATGACAAAAGTTGCGTCACCACGTCCATCGCACTCTCACCCATTCGTAACAATTCGTTCAATTTCGGCACTTGCTAGAAACCATCAGCTTCAGCCAAAACTTCGGCCCGTTTTGATCTAAGCGGAAGGTTTCGCCGAAAGTCTATACGTGGTAGAGCCATGCTGCAGCTATATTATGGTTGTAGAATGAGTCGGGGGACCGGGGAAGGACCAGGCTCTTAAAGAATACCAGCTTAATGCTGCTGTGTTTCGTATGGTGAGTGTAGAGCACCGGAGGAATTCCTTTTTACTGGAAAGAAGGCATTTTCACATTCACATTCCATCTAAGCCCTCACGGATGACAGCGCATTTGAATTTTGATTCGTAGGATAGAAGTAGATGTCTATGGACCACAGCCACCACTTACCACCAGGTGGACTGTGTGCTCGTTTGTCACCTTCCTTCTCCTATATAAAAAAACATTAATAGAAACCTGTTAACTATTTTCATAGGAATATCAGGCACCCAACGACACGGACGTGCTGATGGTGTGGCTCGTGATCGCTGCAGGTGTGCTTATCTCCATGGCCAGCATGGCTTTTGCTCTGTGGCGGTTCAGCTGTTTCGAGAACTACACAAGGTACGAAGTATGCTGGGCATAGTTGATATGAAAACAGGAACGTATCTTGATTTTTGACAAAAAAAAAACTTAAAAGAAAACGACCTATATACCTAAATACGTTATTTAAATATGACATATATAAATACAATACACATAAATTACACACACACACGTATACATACATATTTATGTATTTAAATTCACATTTAAGACCCTTTATACTGGAAACGAGGCATTCCATCTAGGTCCTCACGGATGACAACGCATCTGCATTTTGATTCGTAATCAAGGATAGATGTTGATGTCTATGGGCCACAGCAACCACTTACCGTCAGGTGGACTGTGTGCTCGTTTTGATTTCTTATATTTACGCGAACACTACACATTGAAATAATACTAGTTTTTATGGAATTTATCGCGTGTATTTAACTTTTTAATTACCCGACGTTTCGAACGCTTTACAGCACTCATGGTCACGGGCAGGACTGAGATGTTCAACGTCCATATGTCATAGTTAACCGCGGTTACCATAGATTAAAATTTTTAAAATTTAACTTTTGTTCCGATCTATGCAGTATGAACTTATGGTATCTTGAAGTCTTGCAGTTGTATGCTTGGGTTGGGATTTAATTTTATTTATTATAGGATCCCAAGCAGATGGTAGCACCCAGCCATCTTCTCTATTGAAATTAGGATGTTTTTTGATTTCAATAGCCTCGCGAATCATCCTTGGAAGGAATCGGTGTTGTAGTGTCGGGGGCGATCCTGTACGTGTTCACAGACTGCAGACTTCCCGGAGCGTCGATTCTTCACATCAGCTATATGTTCTTTAACGCGGGTTTTTATTGATCTTTTAGTTTGTCCTATGTAGGAGAGACCACATTCACAATCAAGCTTGTACACTCCTGCATCTTGCAGAGGGACATTACACTTGACCGATGGTAAAAACTGACCAATCTTCTTCAGCGGCTTGAAGTATGTTTTGATGGAAGCGCGCTTCAAGATGTAGCCAATCTTGTCAGTGACTCCTCTAACATATGGCAGTACAGCAGGTACACGCTCGACTGTGGCCGGCTTCACTCGTTCACTGTGACGTAGGCGCGGGACTCGAAGCTTGTTATCATGCAAAACTTGCTTGACATGGTGGATTCTTCTTCCAGGTGTCAAGCCGCTGAAGAAGATTGGTCAGTTTTTACCATCGGTCAAGTGTAATGTCCCTCTGCAAGATGCAGGAGTGTACAAGCTTGATTGTGAATGTGGTCTCTCCTACATAGGACAAACTAAAAGATCAATAAAAACCCGCGTTAAAGAACATATAGCTGATGTGAAGAATCGACGCTCCGGGAAGTCTGCAGTCTGTGAACACGTACAGGATCGCCCCCGTCACTACATCAGATTTGATAGACCGCAGATCCTCGCTAAAGAACACCGATTCCTTCCAAGGATGATTCGCGAGGCTATTGAAATCAAAAAACATCCTAATTTCAATAGAGAAGATGGCTGGGTGCTACCATCTGCTTGGGATCCTATAATAAATAAAATTAAATCCCAACCCAAGCATACAACTGCAAGACTTCAAGATACCATAAGTTCATACTGCATAGATCGGAACAAAAGTTAAATTTTAAAAATTTTAATCTATGGTAACCGCGGTTAACTATGACATATGGACGTTGAACATCTCAGTCCTGCCCGTGACCATGAGTGCTGTAAAGCGTTCGAAACGTCGGGTAATTAAAAAGTTAAATACACGCGATAAATTCCGTAAAAACTAGTATTATTTCAATGTGTGCTCGTTTGTCATCCTGCATAAAAAAATGATATATACTGGGTGAACTTTTTTACCATCTGGAAAAGAATAGAGTGTAATATGTGAACGGAGTAGAAGTCTATGGCACTGATATGTCACAAACAGTAAAAAAACAAAAATTTTGAATTAAGTGTAAATTTTTTTCCCCCAATTACTTTGCCCTTTGCACTTGAGCCTTGTGAAGTGATAAGGTCAAAGATGTCTACTAAATTTATTGTTTTATTGCCATTCGTAAAGTAGGGTGGATATATGATTTTTATTTTGATGGATTTCAATTAAGTAATTAATTTAATACAACATTTTTGCTTTTATTTTTTGTAAAATGTCAATGTCATAGGCTTCTACTCCATTCACATGTTACACTCTACTTTCCAGACGGTAAAAAGCAATATACATTAAAAAATGGGAAGTCGTTAATTTGTTATTCTAAATTTCTACTGTAAAATTCCAGAATGCCATCGTTCAGCGACACAGACAGTCTGCAAGAGAAACGCAACTTGGATCTGTACCCTACGCCGCACCAAATGCTTCCACCACTCTACTCTGAGAATGAGTACAAGTGGGTCGACGCAAAGCACGACGACTCTACTAGAGGTATAGATCTCATATCTAATAATTGTGATAGAAATGCTATGACTTACTATCTAGTTAATCCCACTGCTGGGCACAGGGTACCTCTCATTTCTGAGAGGGTTTTAAGGGCAAGGAAATGTTTTAACTTCACATGTCTACGATAATAGTTTTAACTTCCCGCAATTAAAATCAATGATTTTAAAAAAATCGGGAAATTATTGGTTTCACCTTGGTTTTCGAAAATCGAGTTCACATCAAATTTCCATGTTTTGAGATCCTAGGAAGCCGTTTTATTTCAATAAGTATGTTACTTTGTATCTCTCTCTCTGCGTGTGCGTGCGTGAGTGCGTGCGTGCGCGGGTGTGTGTGTGTGTGCGTGCGTGCGTACGTGCGTGCGCGGGTGTGTGTGTGTGTGCGTGCGTGCGTACGTGCGTGCGTGCGCGGGTGTGTGCGTGCGTGTGTGCGTGCGTGCGTGCGTGCGTGCGTGCGTGCGTGCGTGTGTGTGTGTGTGTGTGTGTGTGTGTGTGTGTGTGTGTGTGTGTGTGTGTGTGTGTGTGTGTGTGTGTGTGTGTGCGTGTGTGCGTGTGTGTGTGTGTGTGTATGCGTGCGTGCATACGTGCGTGCGCGGGTGTGTGTGTGTGCGTGTGTGTGTGTGTGCGTGCGTGCGTACGTGTGTGCGCGGGGTGTGTGTGTGTGTGCGTGCGTGCGTACGTGCGTGCGCGGGTGTGTGTGTGTCTGTGCGTGCGTGCGTACGTGCGTGCGCGGGTGTGTGTGTGTGTGTGCGTGCGTGCGTACGTGCGTGCGCGGGGGTGTGTGTGTGTGCGTGCGTGCGTACGTGCGTGCGCGGGTGTGTATGTGTGTGTGTGTGTGTGTGTGTGTGTGTGTGTGTGTGTGTGTGTGTGTGTGCGTGTGTGTGCGTGTGTGTGCGTGTGTGTGTGTATGCGTGCGTGCGTTCGTGCGTGCGCGGGTGTGTGTGTGTGTGCGTGTGTGTGTGTGTGTGTGTGTGTGTGCGTGTGTGTGCGTGTGTGTGCGTGTGTGTGTATGCGTGCGTGCGTAAGTGCGTGCGCGGGTGTGTGTGTACGTGCGTGCGTACGTGCGTGTGCGTGTGTGTGTGTGTGTGTGCGTGTGTGTGCGTGTGTGTGTGTGTATGCGTGCGTGCGTACGTGCGTGCGCGGGTGTGTGTGTGTGTGTGTGTGTGTGTGTGTGTGTGTGTGTGCGAGTGTGCGTGTGTGTGCGTGTGTGTGTGTGTGTATGCGTGCGTGCGTACGTGCGTGCGCGGGTGTGTGTGTGTGTGTGTGTGTGTGTGTGTGTGTGCGTGCGTGTGTGTGCGTGTGTGTGTGTGTATGCGTGCGTGCGTACGTGCGTGCGCGGGTGTGTGTGTGTGTGTGTGTGTGTGTGTGTATGTTTTTTTTTGAAATAACTTTTAAACAGATGAAACGATCAATTCCAAAATCTAATCAGCTCTTAAACTTGAAAAACGCCGTCGATCTGCATGCGTCAAATCGCATCAAAGTCAAGCAAAAGTCTAAAAAAATAATTAAGTGGTAACAGGAAGTAAAAGAGTGACTTACTTATTTCAGTGGATATGGGAGGCTTCGCGAACAAAAATTACGTGCGAGACGATCTTTACGATTTCGACTCGGACGAGGACGTCGTGGCTGCGAGAGATAGGTAAGTCATAATTAAAAACATACATCAAATGCAAATTTATTATTCTCTATTAACAAGAAAAAAGTAGAAACTGAGTAGCTGAGTTTTTGTAATCGTAGGTACAAATAATTATCCTAAAAATGACTTTTCGACCGACAGAAAAAAGGATTAAACTCTTAATTTGACTGTTTTTTTTAATGTGTGTGTTACCTTAGAACTTTTTTGTAGGTAAACTGATTTTGATAATTTTTTTTATTTGAATGCTGGTGCTTCTCATCAGATCCCATATAAATTTAATCAAGATTTGACGAGTAGTTTTTCATTTATAATAATGCGTATTTAATTGACTTTGGCTACTTTGATGATGAGATCATTTTGTTCACATTGAAGTCGGTTATAATTTTTTTTAATTTACCACTTGTTTAATATATAGTAATATATAATATAGGGTACAATCGAGCTGCTCACCTGATGGTGACTGACGCTACCAATGAACAACTGTAACACCTGGATATTGCAGGTGTTTTAAAAACAAATAGTAATAATAATGTTCTCCGTATCGAATTGAATGAGAGTTTAATGTTGAAGTCTTAAGAATTTATTTATAAGCTCTTAAGACTTAAATATTAGACTCTACTAAGAAAGATACTACTAATGTAACCTAACCTTACGAGGACAGGGAACTCTTTTATCAAAACACTAAATTGCTTTGATTTTGAATTGATTACCGTTACCACGCCTTTTTATAGGATAGGATGACAAACGAGCACACAGTCCACCTGATGGTAAGTGGTTGCTGTGGCCCATAGACATCTACATCTATCCTCGATTACAAATCAAAATGCAGATGCGTTGTCACCCGTGAGAACTAAGATGTAATGCCTCATATCCAGTAAAAAGGTTTTCCGGTTCTCTACACTCACCATACAGAACACAGCAACATTAAGCTGCTATTTTATGCCGGTATTCTGTGAGAGCCGTGGTAGCTCAGATAGTTAACGCTCGCAGTAAATATAACAGAACGCGAGTAACCCGGGTTCGAACCCCGCCGGCATCAATGAAATTGTTAATTGCAATTTTAAGTGCTGATTTACCACGTGCTCGGCGGTGAAGGAAAACATCGTGAGGAAACCTGCATGTCTGATGAATAAGAAAAAAATATTTCGAAGACATGTGAAGTTCGCCAACACGCATTGGGGCAGCGCGGCGGACACTTCCTTGCCCTAAAACCCCCTCAAAAATGAGGGGAGGCCTGTGCCCAGCAGTGGGACGTATATAGGCTGTAACTTTACTTTACTTTTATTCTGTGAGAGCGTGGTCCTTCCCTGGTCGAGCCGGCCCATTCGTGCTTAAACTATACTACTGTTACGAGCTTGAGGTTCGTGACAATAAAAATTGCCGATAAAATTACCTAAATTAACACTTTAATTTACTTTACACAAATTAAAACTTAAAACACTAATAATTAAACACACTAATTCACTTCATTCCGCTCCGAAGCTTCGCTTGTTTCGCCGAGTTCAACTCTACCCCTATCGCATCTTGCAGCGCCTATATATTTAAATTAGCAAAGAAATATCCAGAATGTTCAAGTAAACACGCGCAAGGTACCGAGCGTTCGAGTTTCGACTAGGCGCTGTCGGTTGAGTGATTTGTGATGTCATTTTCTCAATGCTCCCCTCGCTCTCGTTCCTGACTCTAGATGGCGCTAGTGTATCGTTGACTTGAGCGCGTAACACTACTAATATAGCTGCAGCATAGCTTTACCACGTATAATAAATATGCATGGCAAGCAGGTTAGCAACCACAGTTTTTAGTTTTAGTAGTTATTAAGACGATGCTGTCAATCACCTTATCTGTTTCCCCCTGTCGTTTTTTACGACACCCGCGGGATGATACGGGGTAGCGGATGTTCTGACACCACCACCGGTTGTATTACTTTTGAAGCGATCGATTTTAATTCATTTTGAATTTTTTACTTCCCAGTGGGAAGTTATTGTAATGGGTCCGATTTTGCAAATTGGAAATTTCAACATATCTCCACATTTCAAGGTCTTTAGAGTCGAACAGTATGGTTTTTAAGAGGATGTCTATGTGTACGTATGTATGTATGTTCGAATTCAATTTTTGCCTCGTGTAGAACAAAGAGTGATATTGACATGGGACCAGTTTCATTTAACGCGTAATTATGTTACTTAGAGCTTATCAAATTTTGAGCAAAATCGGTCAAGTCGTTTTTTGCGCCGAATAAAAATCGTACAAAATATTAAAACATATGATATTTTTTTATTCTTACCACTGGAAAGTTAGTCGTGTGGACCTTTCGGGTTGCACCTAGACCGCTTTTTATACGTGGTAGAGCCATGCTGAAGCTATTATATGGTTGTGGCATGAATGGGTTGGCTCGACCGGGGAAGGACCGCGCTCTCACAGGTTACCAGCGTAAAATAGCAACTTAATGCTGCTGTGTTTTGTATGGTGAGTGTAGAGATGCGGAGACATTTTTTTTTTCTGGAACGGAGGCATTCCATCTTAGTCCTCACGGGTGACAACGCATCTGCATTTTGATTCGTTATCGAGGATAGATGTAGATGTCTATAGAACACAGCAACTACTTACCATCAGGTGGACTGTGTGCTTGTTTGTCACCTTTACACCATAAAAAAACTAGTTTACATTCAATACTTAAATTATTACGATGCGTATTACAAAGACTCAGCTGTGATGTCAGCAACGATCCGCATGTGTATAACTATCCTTCTTTAACCCGTTTATAAAATTAAGGAATTTGATTTCTGGGTGTTATTATATTATTGACCTTTATGCATTTAATTTTTAATACGCTATTCTACATTTTTGCGCCTTCATTTTGGCATGCTTTGAATTACAGAGACTCAGGCTTCATCTAACTCTGTAATCGTTATTACAGGTACACAACTGACGTGTAGCCGCTTGTTTACTAATTCTAGCGCTTGCAATTTTTTGGTATGCTTAATAGTTTCTTTTATTATATTTATCGCTTTGATTCATTGTTCACTAATAACGTAATATATTTCCTTACGCAGGTTTTTTTAGGGGGTAGTTAAATAAAGTTATCCCACTCACAAAAAGCTACTTTGGAAATATAGAATTTTGGACCGGTACTCAAGGAATAAAGGTTCTCGAGTGGCAACCTCGTACCAATAGGCGAAGTGTAGGACGTTCCCTCTAATAAGATATGAAGGAAGTCGATGGATGCAGGTGGCTCAGGACCGTGCTTTGTGACATTCCTTGGGGGATTTCCATGTTCATCAATGGACTTTTGAAGGGCTGTAATAATGATGGTGACGACTCAGTGACAGTTACCATACCTTATGTTAAAGATGCTAAAGATTATTTTTGTTTGTGTCTAACTCATATATGACAAGAGTGTGGATTTGATAGTAACTACAGTCTTATTAAAGGTAATAAGACAGTAGTTACTATAAAAGGATCTAAGGAGAAAAGTGTAGACAGTGCACATTTGCATAATTTCATTTTGTTATCCCTTATCCCATACCCTTTTCTCTTTAACTTACGAGGAACTTAATTCTTATCTTTTACTTTATGTGGTCTTTCTCACACCATTGTTCTAACTAGGTCAATTCATCTAAATGGATTTTTTTAATGTAATTAAAAAAAATATTTAAAATATTATATTATTCAATAACAGCCTATAAAAAAGTCTACTGCTGAAAAAGGCCTCCCCCATAGATTACCTCATAGGGGGGATTTTGTGATAGATGATTGGCAGACGGGTTGGCAGCCACAGTTTTCTTGTTATTTTGAGATGACGCTGAAAGATGCTGCTGCCCATCTCCTGTCTCCCTCTGTCGCCTCTTATGGAACCCATGGGACGATATGGGGTAGTGGATATTCATACAGCCACCACACGGTAATTTGAGATTTTAAGAAAGAAAATTCTCTCAATTCGGGTGCCACATGGTCTCCCTCACATTGTTCTCGGTTTGTCGGCAGTATATGAAATTCCATCACCGTCTTTGTTCTCTAGTCCTTTGTCATATAATATATAATATATTTAGGAAATTTATTTTTTGACCGTTACTTTTACAAATTAAAAAAAAAATGTTTTTTTTTCACAATTTCAGCAACAAAAGCATAACACCACGCGACATTTACGTGTGAGATTCTAACCAAAAGGTAATTTTAATTCTAGCTTCTATTTACAATGAGCCGTGTAGTTTATGGTAAAGTGTAACGTTCGTACGAATTTCGTACGAATACGATTTCGTACCTTGTGTCTTTGGGTTAAGGTTGTAATTAATAGAGAATATTTACTGTACTTGCGCGTTCATTGTATGTACGTAGACATTAAACAAGGTTTTAGATAACGATATTATTGTGATTTTATATGTTAGCTTATATAATGCACGACCGTCATACACAATCGTGCATTACAAATCTATTAAAAATTATTATGATATCGTAGATACAGGGTGTTCTATTTATATTGTTTAACTAAGCAATTATTTATTTGATATTATCGTACAATGTATAATTAAAATTTAATCTGTGTATTTTTGTATCGTTTTTTGAGTACTTGATATATTAATAAAATATATCACATAATTTTAATTTGTTACTTTTAGTAGGGCCTTAAAATTATTCGGTTTTCTGTTTAAATTAAATTACATGTTATTTTTGGATAAACAAATGGGATATTTATTTGACTATAAGAAATAATTACGCCATTTACTGGTATTCCCATACAGTTTATATTGAAAATTTCGTTCGTAAAAAGTTAACTAAGTTTAAATAAATACGAATGTGACCTGACCACATTATCAAAGGTCATAAAAATTAAAAATAAATTTGCCAAAATATTTGATATTATCATTAAAATAATGGTGTTACAACCAATACACTAAATCCTCCATATTTTGAATCATTTATTAATTTAACTACACAAAAGAACAAAAAAAAAATATCTAATTTATAAAGTCAATGGGCCGATATTACTTGCATTTCGGTGATTAGGCTTGTCCCACGAAAATATTAATTTGTAATTTTTGTACCTGTAAATTTGTATACTTGTAAATAATGAAAAATATAGCCCCCTGTAGCTCGATGTATACATGCAAAAACATTTGTTGCATGAATTCAACGTAGTCAATAAGTTATACGATATAAGTATACAAATTAAATTATATATCCATTGTTGTGATTTTTATAATTAGGTAAAGTTTAACTTCTGTTGTAAATTATTTCTTTATATTTTTGATTATTGTTTAGTTTAGTAAATAAACACTTTATTTGTATTTTGTTTTATTTTTTTAAATCACTTCTTCAATCGCCATGTTTATTATTTTGTTCATTTTCACTACATTCGTTTTTTTTGGCATCATTTGTAAAAACATAAATACAAAAAGATTTTACGTACTTATATAATTTATGAGTTAATAATATACTTACAAAAAATGTACAATATAAATGCAAAATAGATTTTAATTATATTTAATTAGTAAAAAACAAACTTTTTATCCGTAATAAATATCTATAATATGGAATAAAATATAAAACAAGATGTTAGAAAAAAATCAATAATAAGCTTTCTCCGATTGTCACGATGATAAAAATATTTAACATTCGCAAATGTTCCCAGATTTTATTAAGAAGTTGCCGGGTTGTGTTGTCAAAGAAAATATATAAAAAAGGTTGTGAAATAAAAGTATATGTTCCAAACACCATTTTATATTTTAGTATACATTATAACATTTTTATCTTTTTCTTTCATTTTATTAAGCCTTTTAATTCTCCAATTGTTTCATTAATTTTTGTTTGGTTTAATTACCTTGGTTCAATAAAGCCTCCTAATAAATTATGTGTAATCGAAAGCAATTAAAAAATAAGTTGAGTCGATATCTAACACTTTTTTGAAATCGATATGGTCAAACTTTTTTGACGGTTTCATATACTTTGAGATACACAATATAAGTACGCAGACTGTGTACTTAAATCTCAGACTAAAGAAAAAAAAGAAGAGATTCGTACATTAATTTATTTACCAAATACCAAGACAAACCCATGTTCAACTTATTGTATGAAGCTCAAATCATTCGCAACCAACAACTTGGTTTTAAATAGAACTAGTTTTTACGGATTTTATCACGTATATTTACTTTTTTATATTCCCGACGTTTCGAGTACTCAACAACCCCCATGGTCACGGGGGGGGGGGGGGAGGCTGAGGTGTTCGATGTCCCGATGTCAGAGTTAACCGCGATAACCCACCGATTAAAATTATAAATTTTAGAAAATTAAATTAAAAAAAATATTAATCTTTGGTAACCGCAGTTAACCATGTCATTGGGACGTCGAACATCTGAGTCCCTCCCGTGACCATGGGTGCAGTAAAGTGCTCGAAACGTCGGTACTATAAAAAAGTTAATATAAGCGATAAAATCCGTAAAAACTAGTTTTATTTAAATGTGTAGTGTTCGCGTAAATATAAGAAATCAACTCAGTTTTAGGTGCATGTGCTGACTATGAAAGAATGAAGAGAGATGTGTGCGTGAGTGTGTGTGTCTAGACGTTGAGCACGGTTTCGGCATAATTTAAAATATATGCAGCGCTTATTCTATCTTTTTTTGTTGGTCTGATTTCTAAATATAACATGAAGATGAAAATGAACAGAAGTGTAATAAATGTGTTATTCCAAATCTCTTTTTAAACAAAGTCAAAGGGTCAAAATAATCCTTAGTTCACTTTACAAGCGATGCACTCTAAGGAGTTATTGAGAGGATATCTGGGCTCCAACAAAAAAAAAACTAATTGTTCTGCTACGAGTGCGTCGCCATTTTGGAAAGAGGTGAAATATTTGACAAATTTCATAGCGCGGAAAGTTAATTTGTTAAAAAAGTCTAGAGATTAATGTTTATTTCCGAAATATTTGTTATATTTTATGTTAATAAAATTAGAAATAGATAAAGCAAACTGCGGATATTCCTAAAAGTAGAAGAATTAAAAACAAAGTCAAAAATGTAAAAAAAAAATTGGTTGACCCTGCATGCTATCGCTGGAACTTCCCGCTAATTTCAAATGCAAGCGCTCCAAATTTCACCAAATTATGACGTTGAATATGAAATATATCGTAGTAATTAAAAAAAATCAATTTTCTCAAAATTAGTCAGTATAGCTTTCTGGGATCTCAAAACGTTGAGATCTCAATTATCGAAAAACGGTGTAAAAACAAATCTGCGTAACAAATAAGTTCACCTTAAGCGACCAACTAGCGACATCTAGTGAGCGTGAAATTGGAACAAGAGGTTTTTAATTTTAACGATATATTGGTATGTATTGCGGTGTGTCTGACCGACCGAACTAGACATCCAAAAGAGACAACTGTAACTCGAACTGGTTATACTGGTTAATTTGTGTATGTGTGAAAACTTCTTTAGCATCGTTGTAATTTGAAAGTCTATGAAACGAAAAAGCGACAGTAAAAAGAGACAGACACATAAATTTATAGGTGAAAATGAGATAGGAAGCCTTAAAGATTATAGCTTAATGCTCGCGAGAAAAAAGTCGTAACCGACGTCGAAACGGCGTCGCTTACGCGTTTTGTCCAACAAGGTACGAAGGTGTCGTGTGTCTATGGAATAAACAAGCAGTGAACCTCAACTTTGTAGGGTATAGGTAAAATTGATATAAATTTTTATGTAATTACTGAGTACCATATAAGGTATATCGAAAAGAGTAATATAGTAAAAGTAAAAGAGAAAATATATATAGAGTAAATACATATTTATTACATTGTTACATTTATTTGCTATAAAACTACATTTTCTTATATTTTACGCCAAACTTGTAGTTTAAATTATAACATTAAAAAATCATTTGCCGTAAAGTATTTGTATTTTATATTTCATTTCATTTGAAGTTTTCACTTCTATCGCGTGTGAGCTGCACGCATGTTTTTTTTGCCGTCTGAAAAACAATAGGATGTAACAGGTGAACGGAATAGAAGCCTACGGCAAAGATACTTTATATTTATTTTTATTTTACGTAAATAAATCAATTAAAAACTATCGAAGTTAAAATAATTATTAGTATTTGTTGATAGATCAATTTCATAGTACTTTATTAATGTAAAATAAAAATAAATTGTAAAATATCTGCGCCATAGGCTTCTATTCCGTTCACCTGTTACATACTATTGTTTTCCATAATTAAAGTAAAATAAATCACCTTGTATATAAAAACGACAATTTATCAAAATAATCATTCCGTATACTCCAGTTTCATCCTACAGAACTGGACCAATTTTATTCCTTTATTCAAGAGCAATATAAGGAGGTGGTTATGCCTGTATGTCTGTTTTTTTAATTTGTTTTTCACTTGATGTTTAAATAGGGCGGTATAGATTGGCAGTTTTGGTAATTTTAGATTTCAAATATTTTGAAATTTTTAATTTATGAAAAAGAATAGGCTGTACAAAATATAATAACATGGCAGTGGGTGTTATATCACAGAGTAATGATATTCATATGGTTATAAATTGTTTAGTAAAAAACTATTTGCTCTAGTGTCATTATCCAGGGAGAAAAATGAAAGTAAGTAAATCCGCCCTTTGTATTCTTTTTTTGTTTAAGGATGCAATAAAGAATAAAATAAATAAATAAAATAAATAAATAACTATGTTTTATAATTTAATGCCTAATTAGCATAACTGCTTATAAATTAGAAGATGGAACTCTGTTTAATAAATATATTACTGATATGAAATAAATGGAAGTTGTTAGAACTTAATTTGCTTATTTCCGTATAATCGAATCAAATTACATAAAATGAATGCCGTAGAATCAGAGTGGTCGAAATAGCCCAACGGATTAGTAAGCTGAAGTGGCAATGGGTCGGCCATATAGCTCGAAGAATCGACAACCGATGGGGCAAAACGTTCTCGAGTGGAAGCCTCGTACCAGTAGGTGTAGTGTAGGGCGATCCCGCACTAGATGGAGTGACGACCTGGTAAGACACGCAGTAAGTCAATGAATGCAGGTAGCTCAGGACCGTGCTTTGTGACATTCCTTGGGGGAGGCCTACGTTCAGCAGTGGACTTGTGATAGGCTGTAATAATGATGATGATGATGATGATGAAATAAAATGGTGTGTCCTGCCCAGTTTGA